CACCCATTAATTCCTTGACTTTTTTACTCCTTAACCCTAATAACGACCTTTCCAAAATGCCCCCCACTAAACAAATACCGCAGTGCCTGATCGGCCTGTTCAAACCCCCACACGCGATCAACAACCGGGCGTATCTCTTTCTCTTTGTAAAACTTGAGCATGCGCTCTAGCTCATCGCGCGGGCCATTCATGATACCCTTGAGCGTGACGTTGCGCTTGAGACAGAGCAGATTGGTGTTTGTGCGGTCGGAGGCATCATCCTGCTTGCCGGATAGATAGCCAATGCACGAGATTAAGCCGCCGAAGCGGACGCATTCAAACGACTTGCGCAGCGTCTGTGCGCCGCCGACTTCGATGATGATGTCTGCGCCTTCGCCGTCTGTGGCGGAGAGCACGGCCTTGTCCCAGTCGGGTTGCGCGCGATAGTTGATGGCGGTCTTGGCGCCGAGCTGCGTTGCGCGCTGGAGCTTGTCGTCGGACGACGAGGTGACGATTGCGGTGGCGCCTGCGGCGGTGGCGATTTGGCAGGCGGAAATACTGACGCCGCCGGTGCCCTGGCACACGACTGTTTCGCCTTTGCTGATGACCTCGCCCCGCGGACGCATGCAGTTAAGGCTCATCCATGCGGTCGTTGCGGCAATGGGGAGACAGGCTGCTTCGTCTGCGGAAAGGTAGTCTGGGATTTTGACGACGCCATACGTGGGGAAGACGCGGTACTGCGTCAGTACTCCTGGGGCAGGACCGCCGAGGCCGTTTGCGATGTCTGAGGCTTTGACTTGGCCGGACAGATGGGTTGGGGCGAAGGTGCTGATGACGCGGTCACCCTTTTTGAGTTGGAAAGCTGGGTTCTTGAAGGGGTCGTTGGTGTTGGATGAGGTTGGGCCGACGGCAACGACAACGCCGCACATGTCGCTGCATGGCACGATTGCGGGGGGATGCTTGACGGAGGAGTGGTGGTTGTAGAGGCCCATTGCGACTGTTGCACGTGATCAGCGTCATTGTCGTGAGGCTGTGATATATCAACACATACCCTCGGTGTCTCTGTAGTTCAAGCTGACGGAGTGAATTTCCACCAGTACTTCATCCTCGCCTGGTGCAGGGCAGTCTGCCTCTGCCATTCTCAGCTTATCGAGACCGTCCTGGCCGGTAAGCCATTGCTTGATCTTTTGCGGAGGCGTCATCTTGGCTGGTAGTAGAAACTGCGTCGAATGCCTTTGGAATGCCAATGTTGAGATTAATGGTAGATGTCGACTTTGTCTCTTTTAAACTCTTGCTCTTCTGACGTGAAAACAGGCCAGATATTTCGCTCAGCCAGTCTCGGCGATCTTGGGAGAAGGGTGGGGTTGGCATCACGGGCAGATCTTGCTGCTTTATAACGAAGAATCTCGATGGCGGGCTAGTATCAAGGAATGTAGATAGTGGAGCTTGAGCAGCGGGCAGAAAGTCGCCGAACATGTGTGGGGAGCAGCATTATTTCTATTTGTCGTGCCATGACGGCAAGGTGCTCAGCACAGCCGTCGAGGTGTTCAGGTGCAACGTCACTGGCCGGAATCGCCCGGCAGCCGAGGTGGCAGGGCGCGGTCGGAATGCGCAAGCCGATGCGACCCCTCAACACCATGGACGCTTATCGCAGATTGTCGTGATGTGTGCAAAGGTCTCGGCATTGATCATACGCGTACCTGGACTTGTGAAACGCCTAGTCTAGTGACAATGGCCGGAGACGAGGAGCGGCGCGCATTCCCCTGACGCAGGTCCACCTGCCAGCACGCTGCAGGGCCTGAAGCTGGCACAATCTGATTCAACAGGATAATGACGATGCCTGTGACGAGTACATCCAGAGACAAGGCGCTATTGGACGGCCCAGATTTGCTGTTCTATTGAAACCACGGGTGCTCGTGCTGGGCAGGCATGATGGCCATGGCACGCGCCATTGGCGTGGAAAGAAGCAACATCACATGACGACACCGGATACTTGATTAGTGCTTGGATATAATCTCTCGCCAGCCCGGATATAAACTTGCACAGTCCCCAGATATCACCTCTTCAGAATCCATCCACTGCACATACAACCACGCCCAGAGACATGACCATGGACTTTCAGCACCACTACTACGCCGGCCAGGAAGCCTTTCCGCCGCCTCTCCCAAATCATCTAAGCTCAGACTACTCGCCAGCGCTTTGCATCATGCAACAGTTCCATGCAGACCTTCTCCGCATGGACGAAGAGCATCTCCAGCACCGCGATCAAGCTGCCTCCACATCTGAAATGCCCTCCCCATTTCCCGATGATGAGCCACTACCCGACACCATCCTAGGCAGGGTGCGAACCTGGTATCGCCGCCTCTCACGTCGACGGACTAGCGACGTCTCAAGTCCTTGAAGAGGAAACATGATATCGTCATGCAGGTACCGGTTCGCATGCGATCGCACTAGTCGCGATCTCGTTCCAGCCTTTCGGGCCGCCCGTCGCCGCTACTCGATACATCCCGTCATCGATCGCACAGCGCAGGCGATCTAGCGTTGACGACTTGACCTTGATGCGACGTCACACCGCCGGCCGGGTGGCATGTCACCCAACCAGGGCACAACTCGAATGCTCATGCATATTTGACACGGGGACGGATGCCTTTTAAAGTGACGTCGCCGGTCGCAGCAGCAGCGTCCAAATATCACCAGGTCCTTGTGCAACCCAGTTGTTTCCGTATGACGGCCCCAGCAGTCGACCGAGGAAGCCCCGCGGGCCGCTCCATGGATACTATCGTCATGCACTCACGGGCCTCGCAAGGTTCCGTCCGACGCGCCGCAACGGGATGGCTCTGTCCGCTTCAAAGTGAGCGTAGTTGGAGAGATGAGACGTGTGTCTGGATGAATGTAGTGATGGCTGTGTAAAGTCAGTCGCGTAGATCGGGATGATGACGATGGAGCAACTGAAATTAACAATACCACTATAAACATGTGCTTGATTTGCAAGCATACGTATATTAGATGCGCTGGTAATGGGTTGATGCTGTTGGTGGCGAGCGATTGTGGGGAGTTGTGGGGAGAGCTCGTGTCAAACCGAGGTCTACGACCGATAAGTGTTGCCAAGGAATGATAAGCGTCAACCCATGTGCCAATCCCGTCTTTGTGTGATCTGTCACCATACCTTAGCGAGTAGTATTGCTGCAAGAGGCGATTATCTAGAAGCCGGTACAGACCACAATGCACATGGGAGCATTGGGCTGTGGCCAAGCCCCATGCTACATCCAAAGCTCCGCAAACCGCCTTGTGAGGCAAACCAAACCCAGGACTGAGCCAAGAGCCGCCGGAGCTTCTCAAAAAATCAGGCAAACGTCCTCGGTGCGTGCCCTCTTTCTCAACAAAATTTATCTTAGCGGTGCTCTGACCATGCTGGCCGCCCACCATGCCTGTGTTCCAGGTTATCGGAATGCGGGCCACAAAAACACTGAACAGATGTCAAGAAATAATGTACCATTCCTTCCCCAGAGCTGGGGTCCGCTGAGGCGCAGCGCTACGACGTTAGAATGCGACGGTGGCAAGGCACGTTGCACAACCCAACATTTGCTTTGCCAAGGCAAGGAATCAGAGGATGATGACCGATCAGTGAAATCTAGCGACCCCGCAAACTTGTCATGCAGAATTTTCCGGGGATTCCACAACGCCGTGTCCGTCAAGCAGGCCTCCCTTTCTTTTCTCTCTCATGGCACGTCGCAGGGGTCAAGACGCGCTGAAAGTGTATAGGGTCAAAGGGCACAGAAAAAAACTGATGGTGCGCACTGATCAGGAAAGCATCAATCGACTGCCATGCACTGCGTAAGATGCCATGATTGCTTGATCGCTCGGACCTCTACGCATCCGCGATATCATACTACGTTGTTCTCAGTGGTCCTTCCCCGCAGAACTTGCCCACTACTGGCGATAGTAGGGGGCCGACTGCCTCGCATACTAGACAACGTGGCCAGCCAAATTTGCGTGCCATGGCCAGCCGCGTAAGCTCAAGGGGGCGAAAGAGATGCACCTTTGACTGGCTGGACCTGAACACTGTGCCTGGCAGAAAGACGCAGGCGCGTGAACGTGTTGCTTGCGTGAACCTTTGACCCGTGACAGGGGACAGACGTATGCAGTCGAGATTGATTACGCTCTTGGCTCTCGCGTTGCGCCCTCTGCACACTAGCAAAATGTCATGTTTCTTGCACTTCGCCTGCAGCTATACCGGTGAAAGCTCTGAAACACAATTTGACGTATCCCAAGACGAAGCTAACTTGGCCGCCATGCCCGTCCGGGTCCGGTTAAAGTGTTCTCTACGCGCGGTCAGTCATTTCGCTCTACTTTTGTGAGCGGCCGCAATGCTTATCGCCTCTAGCCAAGAGACGCTAAAACACCAAGCCTGGTTTCGTCGAGGGCTTACACGAGTGACGAGAAGAGTGGCCTGCGATTTGAGGCTCTGCTCAATCATGGCCTCCAAAGCGGCCGCCGGGGTTGGGCAGGTATAAATCTCGCGTGCACGCATTTGCGCATCTCGCTACTTGCCTCTACTGAAGTATTGCGCAAGTCAGCAAGTGTCCTCGCCAGCAGATTATTCTTATATCACATTGGCGCCATTGTCCTATACCATCACTGTCCCTTGCTCCTCACATTACCGCTGCCAATACAGCGCCGTGTCTCCCTGCTTCCCACATAACGCCTGCGCCAACAACGCCGCCTCCGCCTACACCCGCTGCCACTCCAGTGCCCCTCTCTCTACTTCTCACAGTACGGCTGCCACTGCACCGCTACCTCAACTTGCCTTTTGCACAACTGCTGCTGCTACAGTGCTGTCTCTCTCTCTCTGCTTCTCACTAAACGGCCACTACTACAACACCGCCTCCTCCTGCTTCCAACAGAACGCCTACCTCTACAGCGCCGTCCTCTCCCCTGCACCCACAGCACCACTGCACCACAGCACCGCGTCCATCGACCACTTCGACACTGTCTTGGACCACCTCACCCTCCGCGCCAAACACAAAAGGGCAGCAATCTGCCCGTGCCGAGTCACCATCAACCAGCACCTTCTTGCCGTATCGTACCGTACCGTACCGCACTGGCACCACACCAGATACCGACCAGTCCACTCTTCATCTTCACGAAGAAACATGTCTTACCGCAGTGAGTCAGCTTGTCATGTCTGTTCCTTGCATGCATAACCACAGCATGCTGTTGGCCCACGCCGCGCGTCCCAGCAACGAGGCACACAATCCATGTTCCTGAACCGTTCCGCTGATCCCCCACTTTTAGCCCACCGCTACCCCGTCAAGCGCCCGTCCCGCCGCACTCTCGCTTCCATCGGCATACCAGACCAACGAGACGTCCTCGCCATCTATCTTCGCTGGGCGCGTCAGCGGTACTACCGAGTGCATGACGCAATGCACCAAGAGGCCCCGTCGTCAGCTGTGTGCACGCGCAGCCCTGACGATGCCCTTGACGTGCACCTCGGTGGAGACCCTGCGAACCCTCTGCCGAGCCTGCAGTTCGATGCGCAGAGCCTTAATACCGATCTGCTGGGAATGGGCTCGGGACTTGACGGCCTTGACGCGTCGGTGCTTGGGTACCCCAGTGAGATCGACTTCATTGGGTGAGGGGCATTACCAGGCAGGCTGAAAGGGTAACAGCCAGGCAAGGTTAACTACCGACAATCGCGGCTAACTAGCCTAAAAGTTACCGAAGGTGGCTAAATGGGGCGTTTTAGGAAGATTGTTTTTTTGGAGGGGCTAGGGATCTTTTGGAAGCGACTCGCGTCTGGCGTTCGCGGTTATCGCAACATCTGAAGGGCCCATGGCCATTGTGTAACAGTACTGTATTTTGTAAAAAAAAAGGGGGGGTTAGAAGTGTACGAAATGATGGAAAATGAATCAAGACTTGTTATTGTCGATTGCAGTTATCACGCTTGTGTACCAAACAGATGCGTCACGGAAACAATTATGCAGCAGCAAACATGCATGATCATGTGTAAATGCCCCGAGACACAAAGACAACTTCAAAGCCCAATCTTCCACATGTATAAAAACCACTTCTTCCATCTTACTTTTCCAGACTTCACACACATACCCCTATATACACATACACAAATACCCAATCAATCGCTTGCTTTTCCCTTCTCTTTCATTGTCTATATTTTCCTCCAAAAAAAAACACTGCCCGCTCTATATCATCGCAGGTGTATGTATATATCTCATGCATCGTCTTCGTCACTGTAGTTCTCATCAATTTCCATTCTGCGCATCGCGTGCAGCGAGGTGCGGCGCGGCGCGGCGGGTACTAAGTCGTTCTGGACGATGGTGGCTTCCGCGGAGGGAGAAGGGAGTGTAGTGTCTTGTTTGGGGGTTTGCGGCTGGGTTGTGAGGAGTCGCTGGGTTGGTGTTGTGGCGGTGGCGATACTAGTGGGATTGGTGTCGTTTTCTGTGTCTTGTGTTTTTTTTTAGTGCGCTGTAATATCGTATTTGGTACGGAGCTACTTACGAGTAAGGGGACTGGGGTTTGTATCTAGAGGGGTTGGCTCGGAGGATAGGTCGTTGTCGTATGCACCGGCTAGCTCGAGGAGCATTTCTTCGTCGTCTTCGAGTTTCTGCTGGCCTTCAAATGGATCCAGCGTTCCACCATTTCTGTCTGGTGAAGCTGCATTCGCCTCGTCTTCTTCTAGTTGAGCATCGTGTGCCATTTCCAGCGCCCGACTCGGTTTCCCGAATGCCCGTTCAGCACGCCCGCTCTCCTTCACTGCTTTGCCTTCTACGGATGGATCGCCGCGCCATCGTATCGCTTCAGGCACCTTGCCCGCATCGTAGAGCGGCTTGTACGTCGTGTATTCGTATCGGACGCTCTCGACCGTCCGTCCCGCAGATAGGTTGGCGAAACCGAATCCCGTGGCTTCGGCGAAGTCCTGGCCCATAAAACGCGCGTTGTGGCGCTCCGTCAGCTCCCAGATCGAGGCGTCGGGCGTGTCTTGCAAGAGGGATGCAAGGTATTCGCGCTCGATGCGCTGCCAGGGTCTATCCATTGTCGTGCGATCGATGGCTTGGTAGCGGCGGTCGTTTAGGGCCTTGATAGTTTGCATGTTGTTCCAGTCTTTTGGTGTTTTCCCGTAGCAGTAAATCGTTGGTTTGCGTTTTGGTGTTGGGTCATTTTTGCTCTTGGGACGCATGTCAATCAGCTTTACGATGTGCAGGGCTTCTTGGTCGAGGGTTTTGTCTAGGGAATCGATGTTGGATGGAGGGATGGGGCCAAAGTATTTGACGTATCTAGAACCGCGCTTGTAGCGATAGCCCCGGTCTTCCCACAACGGTGGGTTAGTTTGCCCGTTGCTTTCTCTGGCTGAGGGCTGGATGGGATCGGGGCGTGGGTCGCCGGGCATGGGCTTGATACCCCAGAATGGGTTGGCTGGTGGGATCACAGTGTTGTGGGTGAAAGTTGCGAAGCCATCACCAACTGGTGGTTTCTTTGTCTTTTTTGGCTTGCTGTTGGAAGTCTTGGATTGTGTTTCAGTCTTGTTCCTTGCAGATGTATTTTCAAGGTCTTCATCGTCTGCAATATCTTGCATGTTATTGGGCGGAGCTGAGCCATTATCCTGAAAGTCGGCAGTGGCTTCTTTCCTTGCTGAAACAGCTACTTCAGAATCATCCACCACGACATTTTGGAATGCCAGCGAGGACACATCGATTACTTCTCCAGTTTTTTGCTTCTTTGTGGGGGTTTCGTCCGAAAGCTGAGATTCAGCAGCTCGTTTAGGCATTTTTTTTTCGACAGAATTAGAAGGTTTGTATTAAAGCCCGAAGTGGTATCTTGGCCTTTTTGTCGTGTCTTGGAGCCTCTAGCTCTGAATAGGAAGCGCAGTGGTCTATTGCGTTCAGTGTTGCGTTTCGGTAGGCTATTCCAGCTGCTTGTAAGGATGCTACGGGAGCTAGAGTAATAAGTACATTAGAGTTTCCATGATGACCGATGATAAAAGTTCGTGGTTAGTATGTTGCCAGCGCTTTGACAGTGCCACCTGAAAGTGCATAGAGTCCACTGTTCGTTCGGCTTCCTTTAAGCTTAAAGCAAAGTGCTGTGTTCGCCAACAAAGGGGATGCAAGAGCAATCATCCGTTGGGGATGTCACAGCGGAACAAAGAAGACATGAACAATGCCATTTTTCCATCCCGCACTCCAGGTTGCTCTCACAAAGTCGTTGTATTGGAAATTCGAGATGCCGAGATTGATTTCGCCATCGCGAATGCCTTGGCCCAATCCTACCCGTGAGATCGATGTAGAAATTTGCTTGAGGCACATCAAATTGGTAAGCGACTACAGTGTTTTTTGTCACCGGCAGCAGGTATCTCGTTGGCGAAGCTAATAGGGTGATGGATCGAATCAAATATCATGGCTGCAAATCCAGGTCGTACCCAAATCGAAGAACATTCCCAACTCTTAAGTTCCGTTTCCAGAAATGCTTGCCTCAGTCCTTGCCATCCACTCTTCTTGATTGGGGTATTTTCATGTCTGCGTAACACCTCTCGGGGGGTATATTGACTGGTAAACCGATGCTGCCATTCGATTTGAGGTATGGTGATCTGCAAAGAAAATGCCGGTAATGGAAGATATCTAGGGGAAATCTCTCCTCCGCACCCTCCCACACTCCGCCGATGGCATTGTATATGAAGGCCTTTGAAATAAAATGCAATTCTAACGTCCCTCCCTGTGTCACGCAAATCCCTCTGTGCCGCAAAGAGTCTGCCATTTTAGTACCTTAGAACTCACCCTATCGCTAGTATTGCACTGCAATAATAAAACACTCACTCTAATGCCTATTTTCTACAATCCTCACAGGGTAGTTAGGAATATTACAGCGTGTTTGGTCCTGTCATCGTCCATTCCGTGTCGGCCAGTCTAGGGCTGATAGGCTTCACACCCCTGTCATAGCACGATATATAGAGGATTTCCACATGTTAGATAGATTAAATGATAGGGCTTCT